AGGTTTCAAGGAAGAGACAAGCTCTTTGAAAAGTTTATTGTATTCAAGTAAGACCTTAATCCTGATTTTTTTTGTCTCAGTACTGTCTATGCTGTAGATAATTGTCATCTAGCAGGTTAACTTAGTATTTTTGTCCTTGTTATAGGAAGAGCTTGAGATTGGTGTAAAAAAAAAAAAAAAAAAAAAAGTCTTGTAAAAGCTAGTAAGCCTGAGACATCGCATGGATTTAATGAGGCCTGCTCCCAAGATGCTTAGGTAATTCACACCCACTCTCTCTGAAGTTAATTATGTGCTGGTACACAAAGCCTAAATCCTTATAAAGTAACTTCCTTACAGATGTTACTATGAACTTATTAAATCCTGTGATGCATCATCAGTCTTGCTGGTGTCAGCTAGAGCAAAGGGCTCTGAGCACCAGGGAGGACTACGCACATCTTAAGAATTCATTATAAAAAGGAATTTTTAATTATTTTGCTATGCCTTTCCACCGTGAGATTTTAAACATATAGCAGATAATAATTCTCTGAGGCTTCACACGATAAACTGTTTGCTGGTTGTTTATGTTTGGACTTTATTTTATGCAGAGCTTGCTCTAGTGTATATATTGGTGGTAGATACAAATATTCGTATTTCAGATGCTCTTACACAAAGCTGCACTACCCCAGCAGCCTGCCGTATGTTCTGCTGTGTGGCCAGTCACTACCACGTGGGAACGGTGCTCTGATATATTTTTTTTGAGTACCATATCAGAATATTTTTTTGCCCCCCCCCTCCCCCCTCCCCTCAGCAGAGTGACTTTTCACATAAGATTGAACTGCTATTTTTCTAATCTTTTAAGGAAATCTTTCTTGGCGTGTTCAGTAGGTCACTATGAATAATGTGCTTTTCCCGTTTGGCAGCCAGACTGGAAAGCTGGGGGAAGGGGAAGCAGAGAGGAAAGCAAGAACACATTACATTCGGGGACCGGAGTGAAAACAGCACTTCCCTTTTCTTACACGTTCCAGCAAAAGCCAGCATTTTGTTCTGATGACAGTCATCCCTTTCTGACCTAAGAACTTCTTGGTGCCTCTGAGAAAAGCAGTGGATGAGGAGGTCTAAACTCACCAGGCTGCAGCAATGAGGGAACGGATGGCCATGGCATCCTGGCTTTACCCTAAGGTTTAGGGGTTCAGTAGACTGGAGACAAAGTGAGGGCATGAGAATACCCTTGTCCAAGGTTGGGGAGCCTGGGTTTGAGCCTGCCCTTGTGGAAATGTAGATGTCAAAGCAAAGTGGAAGGAGGAGCAGAGTGCTCCTCTACTGGATGGTGCTTAGCCAGGATGGCAGGGCTGCCCTCCGAAGGAGGAATTCAGGCAAGGCTGATGTTCAGTTCATCTCATGCTCCTCATGGTAGGAGTGGTGGGTACCCCTGACATGGAGCTGCCGGAGAGCTTACGGGTCCAAGAACCAGGCCGAAAACTGTTCTCCAGGCAGCTCCATCAGATAGGTGAGACTGCTTCCCTGTCCCACCCCATCAAGTGCACTGCTCACGGAGGAAACATGGCCTGGTGGCAGCGTTCAGGATTTGGCCCTTTTTGTGCCTTGGCTCAGTTTCTTGGCTGTTGTGAAACCTGGTGACACCTGAAATGGATGGCAGCTATGTCAGATCCCAGCTCTGCACAGGAGAGATGCTGGTCAGCTGGTCAACTTCAGCAGTCTCTGTGGGAGGCACCTGCCCATCTGGAAACCAGTTTGGCTCCCACTGGCTACAGTGGGAGCTGGAGGGAGATGTGCTGTCTGCATAGTTTCCAACTCCCCCCCCCCCCCACCCCAGCCCTTACTCTGTACGGCTGCTTTGAGAGAGTTCACGTTACTGGTACTTTATCTTCATCACTACAATGCTGCTGCCCCCATGGGATTTTTAAACAGCTGGGCTGATGCGATTTGAGTGGGGATGGGGGCCGAGAGCTGCACAAGCCTGTAGTGATCGATGGGACTGCGCGAGGAAAGCAGCGCCAACCCGCGCTTGCTCCCTCATTGCGCTCGTGATGATGAACGGTTTACTGGTGGAGGAGTGAGCGGTTCCTCTGCCCCGTGGGAGAAGGGGAAATGGAGGGCAGGTACCGGGACTGTGGTGCAGGAGCAGCCCAAGCCGGGGTGATCACCCAGGGAGGGAGGGAGCGTAGTGCACGGGGCAAGCATGCAGGTGAGGTGAGCCTGCTTGTGGGAGGGGAGGCATGGTGGAGCGAGCGCTGGCAGGCAAGGGGGTGGCTGGTTCAGGTAGCTCCATGGTTGAGAAAATGCACATGCTCTGCATCCCTGAACTTGTCACCCAACCCCTAGCTGTCTGGTAAATCAGTCACCTTCTGAATCCCTAAAAACTTCTGCTGTCACGTTGCCTTGTGGCTGGCTTAGTGGAGAAGTGTTTCCTAACTTGTTTGGAAGTGGGTATTGCTAGCTGCAGTTTATCCCCCTGCTGCTTTTTTTGGAGGGTACTTTAGCCTATAACTGCCCTCTTACCCTCCTGATGCCATTCATAACCTTATAGATTTATAGCATATTCTGCCACAGTTCCTTCTGCAGGCTGAAGGTCCTCGTCTGCTTGCTCCTGTCACTGAAGTGGCTTCTTTCATTACTCTCGTCTTCCTCCTCCTCCTGCTTTCTCCCTAAATCTCCACATTCATTATATTAAAGGGCAGCTGGAACAGCACACACTACTCAAAGATGCGCTGTGGATTCATATGTTGCCATACAATATTTTGTGTTTCCTTCCCTAGTGATACCATTGTTTTGGGCTGCTGCTGGCCACAAAGCTGCTGCTTTCACCCCACTGCCTGCTCAGCCCCTGGTAGCATTGCTGGGCTGTATGCCTGCCCGCGGTCTCACCGCTGTGCGCACAGGGTGAGGATTGCTTCCCCCCCACCGTGTTTATGTTCGCTCATATTTACCTGCTTTGACTCTTACGTAAGAGTCTGTGCTCATTTTACCTGACCCTAAGGCGGTACTGCAGGGGTGGTGCCTTGCTTTGGCAGCTGCCGCCGCGGCCGTGCCGGGCATCTCTGCCGTGCCCAGCGCCATTTCCTCCTACTGGAACAGGGGCCCTGAGATGCAGCTCCCGCTTCCAGCTACAAGCTGAGCCCCAGTGACCTTTCTTAGTTTCAGTGTTTTCTTGTACAGGCAAAATTCCCCTTTTCCTCACATGCAGGAAGGCATGCTTGCCCCTGCCCTGTAGCAAAGAGCTGATGCATCGTTTCCTTTTCCATATTTTAGTAAAATGGTGTTGTTCAGAGCTCATCTAGAGCGTTTTAATGTTTTGAGCACTTGCACTCTTCTCTTCACTCTCTTCCTGCAATTGTCCGAAGGCTGGATTTTTTTGTGTCCCTCCCAACAGCTGCTGTTACTCGCTTGGAAGTGTTGTGGGTGGGTTTGGCTCTATCAGTGCAAATTAATTTTTTTTCCTCATTTTCTAGTCAGCCTCTTTATTTTTGTTGTACATTGGTGTCAGTGGGATTTTAAAGCATGAATGTGTATTTCTACCAGTGACAGTGATCTTCTACATAAAGGAAACCAAGGCACTGCTACTTGTACCTTTAGACCTTGGAGATTTTGCTCAGTTGAATATAATGCTAGGGTTGTATTAAAAAAAAAAAAAAAAAAATAGTTCAGAGTTTTAAATAACAGGCTCTTATTAATGCTGGGATTTCTGCACGGTGAACCACTGCTTTGTGTGCTTGGCTGTTTGAGAGGGAAATTGCTATGTCAGCAGAGAGAGATGTGTTGCGCTTCGTTAGATGGAGCTGGATACATTGTCAGAGGCCTCGGTTTTGATTTAAATACCGGCTGTGGTGGGGGCAGTTCTGTATAGAAAACGGGGGTTGGCTTGACTTGTATGTATTGCTCCTGGGTTGGCAAAATAAGGAGATGAAGGGACAGTGTGACTTATTGTCTAGACACTAGCAGAGGCCTGGAAAGAGGTGTATTTTCAGCATTCCTACTGAAGTCTACACAATAAGCTAAATTAAGTACCAATATGTAAACCCAAGGAGCAAGGAAAAAAACCTGGAATTTGCTTAAGGGTGCTGATTACATGTGTATCTCAACATTAAAAATAAAAAAGGAGAAGGAAAAAGAGGCAAACAGGGCACTGAAAGGAGGAAGCCTGGTACCCAGCTTTTATGGGCTAGGTGTAATAACCCAGGACCTGGTTTCCAGCTAGGCAGCGAGCTACCTGTGTTGTGAAGCGCGTAACTAGGAGTCAAGGTTTTTTCCCAAAGCTCCTCTTTCCTGAGGCTGATTCGTATCTGCTCTTATTGTTATCTGTTGTGTTCACATGGGTTTTTTTCCTTTTGTTAGTCTGTTTTCCTTCCTTGTTTTTAAAGACTAGCTTATCTGTGTGCCCCAGAAGGGTGTGACTCACAAAGATCACAAGCTTTTTACAACGAGCTAAAGCCCAGCCTGCCGACCACAAGAGAATATGCTGAGGTTTTCAAACACGATTGTCACATTGCATTTGCAAAAGGTGGTGATAGCAGCGAGATGCATGCCCGTGGGACGCCAGATCTGGAGCACGCGTTTCCACTGCTGCCAGGCAAGTGTACTTACAAAGTCTCCTCATCTTGGAGAATTACTGCTTTTGTGCTTCAGTGCTCTTCATCTCTGCTGCCCTGTCCTGTGAAGGACAGGAGCAGTAGGACACAGAGGTGTTTCTGGACACGTCAGTCACAGGTACGCAGTGACTAGAGCTCTAGTCTTGGAGTTGGAAAATAAGCCTTCATCTGAGCTCTGCTGTGATGGGAGTTACCTGGGACCGGTCACGTGCTGCCTTGTCACTCTTCGCCTGCCCCGTGTACATTAACTGTGCAGACCTGCATATTGTATCTGGCTATTGCAAAGCTTGTAGAAGACTGAATTCATTCTGTCTAAGTCTTCCAGTACACCCCTCGTGTTACTGACGCTCCAATAGCAGGAGAAGGGAAGGCACCAATTTGTCTATTTTTATTTTTTTGTCAGGAACCTTTGCAATGGATGACAGAGCAGACTCTCTGATGACTGTGCATCTTCTTGCCAATTCAGGACGCTCATCACTTCTGCAGCAAACTCTGGATCGGCTTTTGGAGTGGGTCTGCCCAGACATTCGACTTTTTCTGGTGTCTGAGCGAGTTTCTCCATTGAAATACTATGAGAGGTATCGTAAGAGAAGCTGTGGCTTTCCTGGAATGTCTGTTCTCCTTTTTCTACATGAGGACTTGGGAGAAGAACGGATTTTCCAGGTCCATGAGCTCTTCCAGTGTCCGCCCTGGCGCTACCAGTGTGTCCAGATTGCTAATGGACAAAGCCACCCCTATGCCCCAGCTCACCAGGACTTCTATGGCCTGGATGACCAGATGCCTGTGTGGGGCATCAGGCGGGTGCACTGTGGCCCCGAAATCCTGCGTGTCACCCTCTACTGCAGTTTTGATAACTATGAGGATGCAGTGAGACTCTACGAGATGATCCTACAGAAAGAAGCAACTATGCAGAAAAGTAACTTCTGTGTCTTCGTGCTGTACTCAACCCAAAATATTGCCGTGCAGCTCTGCTTGAAGCAGCTGCCCATTGGGGTAGCTGCCGAGCCAAAGGAGTCATCGGCCTTGCAGTTCAAGGTGCAAGAAATCGGGCAGCTGGTGCCTCTCCTGCCTAACCCATGTATTCCTATCAGTAGCACCAGGTGGCAAACGCAAGACTATGAAGGAAATACAATTCTACTTCAGGTATGTGTCTGTGGTGCTCTGAGAGGAGGTTTTTCTTTTTTCTCTTTTTTTTTTTTTTTTTTTTTTTTTTTTTTTTTTTTTTTTTTTTTTTTTTTTTTTTTTTCCCCCCAAGGAAAGCAGGACTGGTTAAAAATGGAAATTAAGATTTTGCTTGGTTATGTTTTCTTTTGAATTTGTGAATATGGTAATCGGTACATGCCAGTGCTGTAATGACATTGATAAATATAAGCACAGATCCTTGGGATATTTTTATATTGTTAAATTAATATCATTAATGCTTGCCTGAAATTGAAAGTATTAATGCTTTTTTTGAGCAAACTAGTTTAGCATCTTCCCTTCCCTGCCTGAATCAAATGATTGTAGCAGCCTATTCTTTTTCTGATAAGTTGTTACATTGTAAATGTTTTCAGAAACAGATTTTTAACATCAAAAACCAGATGTATTGTAAGTACAGTATTGATACAACATTGCCTGCAATAGATGTTATGAGCTCTTGAGTCAGCTGCAGTTGGGCAAATGTGCCGAAGAAATGTGTCATAGGAAATATCTGCCTTTTCTGTTCAAGTGTGCAGTCCAGAGGTTGTGTGAATACAAATAAATAAAAACCAACAAAGACGACTGCCGAGATGATATATAGTGGGAATTCTACATGTGAGCAGGAGAGCAGTTTAGCTCAGTGTGCTTTCCTTCCACTGTAACAGTTCCTCCCATCTCTGATTATTTTTTGTTGTAATTTGGATAGTCAAAATTGCCCATCCTGTGGTTTTCCATTTTCCTTGCCGAGCTCATTTCCTACAAATCAGCTTAATCGTTCTGTTTGGCCTACTTTTATGCTACTCTGAACACTAATCCTGAGGGGGCAGCCTTTGTATATTTCTCATTCAGTATCACTTCATACACTGGTTTGCCACCCACTTGGACTGGACAAGGCCCTGAGCATCTTCATGTAGCTTTGAAGTTGGTCCTGCATAGTTTTGATAAAGAAGTAAATAAACCACATCCTCTCCTTTTTTTCTTTTTTTCTGAAGTTGCTCACTAGTTACTGTTCTATTCCATATCCTTTCTCTGAGTGTTTACGAGAGATCCCTGTTGCTCAAATTTTACAAGTTTAGTCTTAAGACTCAAGTAGGAGTCTGGAGTAGGACCATCTCCATGTGCCATGTTTCATAAATAAAGACATGAAATGTGTCTCTAGTCTTGCAGAGGGTTGGCGAGGTGGGTGCCTTGCTGTGGGCTGGTGTCCTTGGGGGTGCCATGCTCCGCAGGAACAAGTGGGATGTGCTTAGCAGGTCCTGGTCCCGTTGGCCTTGCTGGTCTGATGGGTGTCTCCTCCTTGGTAGGTGTTGGTCCATGTGTTGTCCAGCTGTCAGAGGAATGCCACTTGATCTGGAGCTTCCTGGAGAAGTTACTTTCCAAAAGCAGCTGGTCAGGCTTTGCAGACATGAAGGAGCTCCAGTAGATCCGACGCCCCCAGGGAAGGTTTTGGGACAGGCACGGCTATTTGTGTGTCCTGCATTTAGGTCACCTGCAGCAAATCTGTCGTGTGTGTGCACTAGTCCGGAGAACCCTCTGAAAGCTATGCACGAGTTGGGAGAAACTGAATTCAAGTGTAACTTTCTTGTTTCTTTTTCAAAATAGTAACGTTTGTGACCAGTGATTTCAGTTTTATAATTTATTAAAAGACAGATGAGCCTATGGGATTGTTTCACTCAAGCATAGAGTAACTGCTCAGTCGAGTGCTGGCAGTGACCATGGAAAATCCTGAGGCCATCAGCCTGTCTGCAGGGGGTCAGACCAAGGCTTCATCCTGCCCAGCTCTCTGTCCCCAGCAGCTGGTCACAGGCAGCTGCCTTGGGAGGAATAGCAAGAGGACAAGTGCATGCGTTACACCCCACCGATACACGCCGGAGCTGCCTATTTTAGGCTCAAGGGCCTTCTGAAGCCAGCTGTGGTAACCTGCAGTGACTCTCCTTTCCAAGCGCTTACCTAGTCTCCCCTTGAATCCATGTGAACTTTTTGTATTCACAAGATATCTTGGCAGGGACCTCCCCAGGTCTACTGCCACCTTCTCTTATTTGAAATTGGCTTCATTTGATGGCTTCTGCTTCTTGAATTGCAAATGGCAGGGAACGGACAACACCTATCTGTTTCTCCAAGTGGCTTATGGTTTTATGACCTTTTATCCTCTCCCTCCCAAACTGGTAGGTTTTTTTAGTTGTTTTTTTTTCTTTTTTTTTTTTTTTTTTTCCCCCAGGCTTGAGATTCCCAGCATATGTGGCTGTTCCTTTAGTGTACTTGCAGTTGTCCTCATTGTCCATTTCTGAGCCTTTCCAGCTCCACGATACTCTGTTGTGCGCTGCGGTTGAGGGACAAACACCACAGTCCAGCTGGGGGACCAGAGCTGTGCTGTGCGTGACAACATTCTCTGTTTTCTTTGGAATAAGATTTCATTTGCTTTCTAGACTGCTGTCAGGCACTGAACTGATGCTAACATGGTGCTGTCTGTCACAGAAATGAGACCCTGGGGTTACGGTCAACTCACGACTTGGAATTTGTATGTGAAGCCGGGATTGTTTTTCTCCATGTGCATCACATTATCTACATTGTTTCACCTGCCATGGCTCAGGCTTGTAAGAGTCCTGTGCTGTTCTGTAGGGGCCGGCTAACTGACACTGCAGGTGACTTCAGCACAGCCAGGCTAGGTGAGAGCATCACCTAGTGATGACAGAATGGTATGTTAATGGGGTTGTCTCCAAATTTTATTCAACAGGTTCAAGACAGCTTAAAGCCCCATGAAACAAATGCTGGGCTTTCCCATCAGCATAATAATGCAGGCAACGAAAAAATCCTGCAGGACTCTGTCCCAGCCCCTCTCCCTGTAAAGTGGGATAATCCTGGGCAGAGAAGCGGGGAGGTGAGAGCCACGAAGGGTAAAACAAAATGTGACCAAAGCGAAGCCCTCACTCCTGAGCAAGCCGGTGGTGATCTCCACAGGCACTTCTCTTCTCACAGTGGTCCAGCGACCTCCTCGTGGTGGGATGCCATCTCCCTCCGCAGACAGGTGGGCAGCGAGTGGCAGGCCTCTCTCCAGAAGAGCCGTGTTCGTCGGCAGGCAGTGGAGACCAATGTCGACACCGGGCTCGCCGTGGCGAATCCTGCGAGTGGCTGGGGGCCACCACACAGCTGCGCCCACGAGCCGCGTGTTTTCCTGCGGAGCAGCCTCCTCCGGCCACGAGCACCCACGGATGGGGCTGGCAGTGCCATGCCCTCCCAAGACAGGACTCAGCTGCTGTTTGCTGCAGCCAAAAGGAGTGAAGGAACAGGGCAAAGAGCTTCGGCCTTCCCCTCGCAAAGACCACGAGCCAGCCCTGCAAACAGAACGGAGGACGAGGAGGAGGAATTCTTTATATGACTGAAAACAAACGTGCCAGATGGACTCATTTCCAAATGACAGCGGAGCGCTTTTGTGTGGATTGTGCCTCTTCGTGTTGTGACCGCTGATGCTCAGCTTACCTCTGTAGCTGTGACAACATTTCAGTAGTGGGTTCACCGAGGTAGACACTTACTTTCCATGGAGCGATGCTAAGGAAGCTGCAGGCAAAGCAGGAAAAATAACACTGTATTTACAGAAAGGTTTATTTTTTTAAATGCAGAATAGATTGGAAGATTATTGTGCAATGAATAGAAATAAGCCATATGACTCCTAGAGCTGTTCTAAGATGCTAAAAAATAGCCAGTGACATCTTCAGATGGGGTTAGAAGGTGCAGTTTGCCTTAGTTGCCCAGGCAGCTGGATGCCCCCAGCCATGGGGGCTCATTATCCCTTGCCAGGACATCTTGGAACAAGGTAGTGGCATGTCACAGAGGATATGCCGATTTTCCTCTGTGTTCCTTCTTGCCTCCCCTGTTGTTGGTATTTAAAAGCTATCAATGTTGTCAATTGTATGCAAGATGTGAAACATAAGAATGTTCTTTTCTTTTAAAATATTTTTGACAAAAAAAATTTCCAGAGAGACCTTTTCCCCAAATTAGCACAGTACACGCAAAAAGCAAACACTTGCAGAGAGTAGTTTGAGCTGTGTTTATGCTCCCGTAAGACCTGCTGTTGCCTATTCATATGACACTTAACAAAATAAACCCAGCAACAGGCCAGGCTTTGTTAGACCAGTGTGCAGTTATCAGCAGACAATCCTAATTGGGTTTTAATTAACAGAAGACAAGAGAAGTTAAGGGTAATGGAGGGAACTGCTGAATGCTGGAGAGTAAAAAGGACAGGAGAAATGAAGTAATGTTTCAGCAACAGATGCTGAATAAACTCCCATCTTGATAAGCAATTTTCTTTTCTCAAGTAGGATTAAGTAAATCTCAAAGGGAAA